AAAGTTATAGCAATAATTCTAATCAAAAATAAAACAATCTCCGTGAACAGTAAATCTACAAATAAWCTGATATTCCGTCTTCGTTTTGTCGCCTGTCGGCGGGTAACGACGACGAATTTTAACAATGCAAGTCGGCATGGAATTGTAGTCTGAACAATAAAAATGTTTTTATTTTAAAYTTAGATTATTTATAATATTGTAATAAGTAGTATCGAATTGATATAATTATAAATATACATATTAGTTAACCATCTAAACATGGGGCCGCTAAAAAGTTATTTTCCCGGGCTGGTCCAAAATTCCAATCCGTCCCTGATAATCAATGGTAATAGGCAGTGGCGGACTGGGAGAATAACACAGCCTGTGAAAATCATAATTGTAGAGGCCCTCAATATACTAACGGCCTTTTAAATATATAATATATTTTTATACGTCATATAAATGCTCGGCCTATAGGTATTCCTAATAACTATTTTAGATTCTGAGCGGAGCGATGAATGTATTGTTTTTACAATGATGTGTGTTTTTTTAAATTTTTTTTGTGTCTGTCATCACCTTTATTTAGGACAGAAAAAATACTTAGATTTTTTTCAACATTATCTTTTTTAATAGGAAAGTAGTGAATCTAGTTGGTAGTTTTTCCAGTAGTTTTCAAAAGTGCCATGAAAAACAAAAGAAAAATTATTTTTATTTTTTGATGTAACTCTAAAAAAAATGACCATAGATACATGCAATTTTGACTGAATGTTTATATTACCATTTTTTATAAAATTGAAAAATATAAAAAATGCATAGGCACAAATTTTTTTATAATCATTTAAAGTTTGAACTTTGACAAAATGTATCAAAATCTTGAAAATTATCAATCATTGTAATTAAAAAATTATGAAATGTTCAGTTTTTATAACTAAGRATTAAAAATTWAAAATAYAGATTCTCATAAATTGTTCTTATTATGGCCAACAAATCTAAAAAAATATATAAACACAGTRATTTCTTATAGACATTTTAAATTCAAATTGTGAATTTTTATTTCTTTATTTTAAATTAAATTAAATTTTTTAATTACATCTAGATTAGTATTCTTGCTCTACGATAAGTCGATAAGAGGTATTACCTCAGTATATAGAGCAAAGCTAGTAAATTCATATGTTAATCATACACTTTGTTCACATTTATCAACTACTAGCAATAAACAAATTTATTATTATTAAAAAAAAATTTGGACGAAATTACATATTAAATCCAATAATATCGATTTTGGTTATTTTGTTGTATTTTAAAAATAAATATTATTAGTGGATATAAGAAACTTTTAAGAAAATATTGACATATTGTTGTATTTTATACACACAATGACATTTTCAATTGTATTTTTGGGGGAAAAATGAATTTAACCTACTGTAGAAGATACACTTTTGCATCAGGCGGGACAGGCTTAGGCCAAAATTTTTTAAGAAGCCTGGCCAATAATTTCTTAATACTTCATACTTATATGTTATATGCAGGTATCAACATATAGCTAAACATAATATTCTATAAAAGTTCAAGTTTTTAAAACAAAAAATATTTTTATAATTATTACACATTTATTGAAACCCATGCCTATAGTATACAATGTTCAAATCTATGTTTAAATGCATACAAAGTTAACTATTTAAACTATACAATATGTAGGTATTTATGTTACAATAATTACAATAATTTTATATTCACTTAAGTGAGTCATAAGATAATATTTAGTGACCAGTTATGAATTTTTTAAAAAACATTTATATTATATTCATTAATTTAGAATTATTATACTTAAATTTTAGGGTGGTCATAGGGGGGGGGCAAAGACATTTTATGGAAGGCGTGGAGCCTCACAAGCAACACAGTTGCTACAACCAGATGCTCGCGGAAGCGTAACTTTGAAAAACATTAACCCGTTGAATTACCCACTATGTCCTATAGGTAATTATAATTACTGCAACACTGGTCTAGAAAACAATATTTATGCGCTTAAATACGTAGTAAAATTAGTAGAGAAAACACAGGCGTTCAAAGATATGTCGCCGCTAAACTGAATCATGTACCTACCATATTATCCGAAATGTGATGATCGTTTACCATTTCGTTCCGACGATTATTGGGTTTGTGTATCAAAACACTAGACAAATACCTATCATAATCAGTGTAATACTTGCAGGATGAAGGATGTTGTCAACAACAAACTTCGAAATTCGAGGGCTAAGAGTAGGTAGTGGACACATTGATATTTCCACATATACCCCATGCACATATTAATTATGCCTCGAATTTAATGATTGTTGTAAAAGGTGCTGATATGATTCGAAGGTTATTGGTTGGAGACTTGAAGTGATTTATGAATGTTAATGTTTATAATATTTATTTGTGGCTTGGTGAGGCGCGGTCGTACGCTCAATCTGCGGAAACGCACTGAAAACGCATAATGTGACCACCCGGGATTTTTAGCAACATATCCTTGCCACACATACACAAACACGTGTTACAACCCTACCCACTTAAAAACCTACAAACAAACATACAAAAATAACCCCTACCGTACCACCCCACATCCAATGGCCTATGTTGCCGCGGGTTCTCCTTACAAAAAAAAAAAATTATTTATTTTAAAATGTAATACACGTAAAAAAAAAAATGGTGTGACACGCCGATTCGTATGTGATAACTACAAGGTAAACATTGATGCTATCATCAATGTATAAAATAAAATAACTATTTATTTATTGTCATTTAACATACATGATTAATTAGTGCATTATTTTACATTGTCAACTAATAAAAATGATAAAATAATAAAAAAAACTAGTGTTAACAGAGTTGTAAATGATCGAATTTAAGTTAAATAGGTATGTGTTTTAGATGTACAGGTAATATAATATGGTAACATGTATCCGCAATGTCATAGGTAAGTCATAAGTTAGAGATAAATGAAACTATTTGTGTTCCTATATATGTATATTGAAATTTCAGTTTTTGGATATCATAGTAACATAATTATTTCGACTCGATAAGATAAACATTTCATTTTGTAATTATGGTTAAAGACAACAAATAACTATCATCAACCTACAAGGCTACAACCTTGTAGGTTTCTCATACGAATCGACGTGTCACACCATTTTTTTTTTTTAGTCGACGATTCAAGCGTGAAAAACGCGCAACAAGCGTAAAAATGATGTAAAGCCTCGATTCGTATGAGCATTTTGCAAAAAAATACAACTTGAGTGTTAATTTTCACATTTAAGATAATGTCCTAAAAATAAGATGAATAAACCCAGATTTTTGAAATTGAAAAAAATCTTCATTGGGTCATCACACTGAGTACGCATATATTAGTTAATAATATAATATCGTTATGTAATCATTGTGCATATGACTGTACGCAACACTAGTAAATAATTATTTATTTTGGATTAATTTCAGTTTTTATTTATTTATTTTTCTTACCCTAAATAATTTATAATAGAGAATTCTTTATAGTTCAATATTTTATTAAATTTTGAAGTATTCTCAGTAATAATTTTGCTTCATTTTATTGACACCTCATAATTAACATTCTTCTAAGTTAAGCATTATAGGTACATAAACTATTTAAATCCGCTGTTAGGGTGTTACCACTGGATATCCTCCATAATCCCATTATTCATATTAACTACTTTTATTTGTCACTTATCATACTTAACAAACCTACTCATCGTACAAAGAATATGTATAGATTTTAGGTTTATTTCAATAACATAAATTTTAAAAAAAATCCTCTTTTCTTAAAAACACTATCATACATTTTTAATGAAGTAAATTTTCAAGTATACAATATAGTAACATGTTTTTAAATTAAATGTGGGTAAAATGTAAATGTAATGATTTTCAAAGGTAGTTTTATATTATTTTTTCAAACATCCATTAGTTTTATTTATTTTTTAAGCACAAAAGGTATTGACATTAATTAATATACTTAGTTTAATTACAGTGATTACAGTGATTACACTTTTTTTTTTTTAAATGTAATGTTAATATAAATTATGGTAATAATAATGCTGATTTAAAAAAAAGTTGTGTATTGAGGTGTTACGTTTCTTGAGTGCTTCTTCCATAGTTGAAAGATGTTTGTGAATGGTTCTTGCAGATATAAAAAGTGGACAATTAAGGACTATTTTTCTATAAGGGATTCTAGACCGCAGTAGGGTTGTTCTTCATGTTATATTACATATTATATAATGTATATGAGTGAGGTAGATGTCTCCAGTTTGGTTCTTGTGGTTCTTGTGTGTCAAGATATATTAGCATTGGTATGCAATCTTTTTATTTAATTTTTTATTTCTTTAAGCTTAATAGTTATTAGTACTGCATCTGAAGACATTTGCCACATATTGGTGATGAGTGTTTTTATACATTTTTTATGTCTTGGTACAAGAGAGCAGTTATCAAAGTAGAAGAATTGATTGCATTGTTTGCTAATAAACCCATTTTTCTAAACATATTGCCATTTAATTAGTTTAAAGTTAGAATGTGGTTCAGAAATAAAGATTGAAAACAAACAAATTTTTATGTTTAATGTGGCTTATTAATTTGATTTAATTAAGTTTCAATAATGTTTTGAAGCAATTCAATGTGATATTATAACTATTATCAATTAGCTATATATAAAAAAATATATATATTTTACAGCACAAAATGTTTAATTATAATTTTTGATAGATATTCAAATAATTATTCCATTCAAGTCAGACAATATGGCGTATTGCAATACAGATAAAATACAAAACCATATTATTAGAGACCAAAATCAAACAGTTGATAAATATTTTCAGTTTTATTTTACACTCTTGGTATCTGTGTCGTCATCTATATGTTGATAAAGTTTTGCAAATAAATTACCATTCCTCTTTTGAATAGATTTTAATCGACCAGCAAACTGGGGACGTGAAGGGTTAACTTTACGATTGTCCTGATCCTGAACTATTTGCAAATACATAACACTATTTGGATCAACATCAACAGCTTTATGTGCTATATTATGTTTTATTCCTGTCTGTTGAGTTAATGGCGGGGACATAGGCGAATCAGTAGTGGCTCGTATTACACTCGGTCTGTCAGCCAAAGATTTTTTGAAACGCATTAATGTTTTCTCAATAATTTTTTCTTCATCAAGTTTACCACGGCATTCAAATAAACATTGCAAAACTTTACAGTGATTCTCAGTGTATAAGTTTGATTTTAAAAATGTTTCCAACTCCGCCCACATAGACTTATATTGATCATCTTTTTTCATTATTTTTCGTGGATTTGATAGACTGGGTGTAATGAGGTGTTCATTTTTTGATTCAGCAGTCATTAAAGCATAAATACATTGTTTGCAATTCATTACTTCATGATCACTAATATTATCTTTAACTATTAATGACAACATTGGTTCAGTGTATTGCTTTAAATTATATATTATAGTTGAGGATGTTATTAGTGGCCAATATGCAGTTTGTTTTTTCAATTTTTCTTTTGCCTCATCTATATAGTTTCTGTCTTCTGCCTGTTTTCTTTTTGATGGTTGTAGTAAATTTAACCTCATAAAATTACCAAAATCGGCTACTCTGTATTGAGTTACTTTTCCTCCAGGGCCTTCACTAATGGCTGGTGGATCTTCAAGTACTGTGCGACCAGAAGACACTGTATGTATATATATTTCACCATTGTAAGATTTTAAAACATGTGACATGCTTTTACCACCACCTTGTTTTATCATCTCAAGTAAAACTGATCGACCATTCAGTAAAAAAGTTATCAAACATGCGCTCGGTCTGCTGTTTATATCAACTGGAGTGATTCTATGTAGAGTTGTACAACTGTGAATATCTGGCAAATTGTTGTTTGCCCTAGGCGTACACCATTTTAATTTAATTGTCTCATAGTCAGCTCCTTCCTTTTTTGCAACCACTGCTTTGGCATCGGCTACATTTGCATTTAAAATAGTTGTATGTGCAGTAGCTGCATGGTATATTTCTACATCATAGTTTGCTGATGAACTTGCATTTTGTTCTTCCTTCATGGGAATACCAGTAACTGTTGTACTAGCTAGATTGTAGTGTTTTAATAAAAGGTTTGATATCTTAATACCAATTTTGGATGCAGGAATTGAATGCACTTCCAAATCTAGTATTGGTGATATGGAATGAGGTGGACGATCAGTAACCTCACATGTTATAGAATCTGGATATGTGTTAATTATAACTAAGTGACAATGATGAATAGGCATTGAACTAGGTTGAGATACATATTTGTTGCTTTTGATCATTTCGTTATGAAACATGGACATGAGATTATCTATTGATGGGTTGTCCCTGGCTGATGTGATAATTACTGTTCTGCATCTGAAATTTGATAAAGTAATATTTAGTATGACATATAGATATAACTTAAATGTTATTGGTTATTAAAATAATTAAGTAATTAGGTATTCAAAACAATTTTTTAATTATATATAAAAAAAAAAACATGATATGCTGTGTATATAGTATAACAGGGTTTAACTATTGTTTAAATTATTGTTTTTAGGTAATATTTATTATTTATTATTATTAAATTAAAGACGGCACGGGGAACATTTCTAATCAATTATATTTTTTAATATACCAATGCAATATTTATTTATTTTGATAAATTGTCTATGGCTTTTTTTATATTACTAAAAGATAGTTTTTAACACATAATTAAAAATGTAGATTTATGTACTAAAATAATAAAGAATTTGAGAAAAATAAAATACTTAATAATAAACAATTATTCTTAACCCAACTTTAATTGGGATTTGGAAAAGTTTACTTGGTAAAAGAATTTTAAACTTAAAATTCAAAATAATTATTACTTTACATAGTTAACAGGTAACAAAAAAGTTATCATTCCTCTCTTTCCAGCATTAAATTAAATTTCTGATATAACCATTAAAGTTTAATTTATTAATTTCTAAAACAATTAATAACTTATTCTGTACCTACCTATAACATGTAACAACCTAACCTATTTGAAAAATTATTGAAAATAATTTAAACAAATTACTTGTTTTGCACTTCAATATTATTTTTCTTAGCCCCTTGATCCATTTGTGCTGTTGTACATTCAATCATTGCCTCGGCTGCAGTACGAAATCCATACACAACACTGTAGTCTCGATTTGGGTTTGGTACAAGCTTTGCAGGTGGCCCTAAAGATGACAAATGATGCAGCATATAGTTAACGTTTTGTTGACTAGATGACCAATTATTCAAGTTGCGAGATTGCATGTCGCTACTAATAACACGTATAAGTTTCCCTTCTGGAAACAGATCCCAGACAATACGGCAGTATTCGAGTACAGCTTCAATACTACACGTCCACATTGATTTGAATATTGGTGGGGGTGGAATTCCACCAGATGGCCGTTTGGTGAAGTCCATTTTGATATGCGAGTTACTAGCCAATCCGAAATATGGAGTGTGGTCCACCACAAATGTGGTTTTATGATTTGCTGGAAAAAGTTGATCCATTAGACTCATATTTATGCACTTAAAATACTTTTTGAATAGTTAATTGCTTAATTTATTTTCCTAAACTAGGGTCAAAATGAATGTTCATTGGCTACATCATCATTTGTCACCAAAAAACCTGATATTCCTTTACTAAAACTGTAAAACATCACGAATAAGTAATTTATAAGTTACGCAGTTGATACTAGCAGGTAGTAAGAAGAAAGTAATTTTGTATTTTGCTTATAACTATATACGACTAACTAGTAACTACATAGTACTAACTATATCGTGGAAATGATATTATGTGAATTCTGATCACAATATTGAATATTCTGATGTTAATTTGTTATCACTTTATCAGTTATCAACAATCCTGCCGGGAAATATTATGTTATCATTTGCTTACCGTGATCTTGTTATCTAATGGGTGAGTGGAACTAACAGCGTTTGGTTCACACCAACCACAACAATATAGTTGGACAGTTGGTCCCCGGCAAGTAACATGACGTTTAAATCATAATATTAACGTCTTTTAGGTTTATTTTGAGATCCTATTATACCTGTCATAATATTCATATTATATTTTATTATTTACTCGTTATTCAATTCGTCCAAGTCACCACAACCCTTGGCCCTAAGAACTTTTTGCCGGACTTCGAGCTTCTTGTGGTGGAGTAGTATAAGTAGCATTTAAATATTTTAATGTAATTAAACATTAATATATTAACTATCAAAATTAAAGAATTTTGAGGGGCATATGAATGCTCGTGTATACACATCTAAGATTGAAACAAAAAGCTAGTATGTATAGGTACAACACTATATTTTATTGTATAAACATTAAATATATTATTATTCTAAGATCTGATAGTACTTTTTAATTACGAATTTTATGCATTAAGTGCTCAGGAATAAATTATGAGTACGTCATTCGGGAACTGATTTTCCGTGACAGTAAATATAAATTCTAAAACTAAAATTATACTATATAAGCCCCAAAAGAATAGGTAATCAAACTTATAATACCTAGTACTTGTACGTATAAACGTATAGGTTCATTGACTCATCGGATTAAATATAGCTGTGTCATCGAGAATGTACATTTCCTTGTACCTACAACTTTCTTCATCTCACTCCGAACTCGATGTTTTGAGATATTTTACAAAAATAATTTTAGTAGAATAGAATATATGAGTAAATGTTGTACATACAATTCTAAAGAACTGTTAAACGAGTTGTCGGATTATCGTTGGCTTTTTAAGGTTTTTTTTGTTCATTGAAATTATGACGATTGGCGTTTAATTAATGGATAATAAATATTATATGATATTGTGATGAGTTTTCAAGTTTTTTATTTCTTTGAATGAAACGATACATTTTTATTTAATATTTTGAAAACAGAATGTTATTCGGAGTATTTAAATTTATAAAATCCATAGCACGGAACTCTGCGTATACGCAATATACTATTCATATAGCTACAATACTGTCGTAAATCCATTATTTTGCCGTCATCTCACAATATTGATTATTGACAATACAATTTTTATTCATTTTAATGGAAAAACTATAACTTATTTAAACTAGGTTTTGACATTTATAGGAGTAAAAAAAATCTGGACAGGTACTTACATTTTTTACTGAAAAAGGAATAAAAATGTGTTCATAATAAATTGGATATTTAATGAAAAATAATGATAATTATTCCTTTTTTTGCTGAAGGTACATTATTAAAAACAATTGTTGTATAAAACAAGATGTACAGAGAATATATAAAAAAACATTTGATTATATCCGAGTATAAGGTCTATGGATTTATCATATTATTATAATAATAGATAATATTATTCAGCATCTATGGCAAATCCCAATCGTCGGGGTCCGGAGATGATTAATAATTATAATAATTGCATTGAATAAAAAAAAAATCCAACAATAAAATGGATAAGTCGTTAAAAGTGATTTAAAATATAAAATTGTTCTCATAAAATAACTCGATTCATTCAAGTTTCAGATCGAAGCGAGTTGAAAACGGATGAAGCTATGTCTTTTTCGATGATGTACTGAACGTCTGGACTCCAGATATGGTGCAGTTATGTTTTACCGGAAGGGTTAGATGCTTAAACTTAAATTTGTTTTCATATTATTTTGGAGCTTAGATTTACTTTTTAGTATTAAAGCAATTATTTATTAAGGGTTAGGTACACGATATGCAATGGCGTAGTGAGGAACTTGGTGGCCCTAAGGCATTAAGAGACAGAGGCCCCTTTTAACACAGAAATTTAATAATAATACAAATATAAATTATTCAATAATGATTHATGAGCTAATAATAATTATAAAATATATTTTTTATTTTATTATTTATTACATATTTTATTAATAAAAACATATAATATGTTTTTGTATTATACTTAAAAATTAACTTTTCGAGCCTTCATTTGAGCAAACTTGTCAATTACATCTTCTAAATTCAATTGCCGCGCGTGCCCGCCTATTCTCAATGGAAATATTTGCCAAACCACTCAGTCGTTCCTCTGCCATCGTACTCCGTAAATAATTTTTATTATTTTTAGTTTTGAGAACGATTGCTCTGCTGCTGCAACTGTAATGGGTAACGTCAAATACAAAATAAAATCAGTGCATACATCAGGGTATGTTGTTGTCAATTAATAACATTTCTGCAATTTCTTTTGTTGTTTTTGAATTTTTCAATATTATATCCTTAAAACATGATCGAAAAGATAGAATCTGATGAACAAAGTCTGGAGAAATATCGTGGTTATACTTTTTTTGTAGTACCTATTTCTGCTTCCTTTTGTAGTTCCTCGTCGTTTAGTTCTGATAATGAAATAGGTTGTAAGCATTTAAAAAAGTGAGAAACGTAATTAAAACTTTGAAATCTACGTTTCATTTCGTTGCTACTACGATCAAGTGTTATATTAAAAATTTCAACTTCAAATTTTTTTCCCGGTGATTTTAATCTTTGGTCTTCACAAAGCTCATAAAAAAACATTTTTTTTGCTATACCTTTGGTTTTTAAATGTTGGTGTTATGCCCCATGTTTTCGAAAGATTTGTAGCTTCTGTGAAAAATTCCGAAAAATGTCCTCTTATAATTTTCAAATTACTTGTTAATGTTCGTAGTAGTCCTGTGAAGTAGCTTTGTGAAGATCAATATCTCTCTGTTGTAATAATTGTGAACACCATATACTTTTCTTAGTATATCACTTACAAATAACAACGTTAATACAAAGCTGAAACTTTCAAGACTTTTTACAAGTTGTTTAGCTTCTGAAATTTCATTTTTATTTTTAGACAATAATATTATTTTTGTTAAAGCTTTTAAAATATTTAGAAAATTAAATCGAATAGGAGAAATAGCTTGATGGCGTGATGACCACCTGGTAGAGCAAACTTTTTTAAGTGTTACTCCACCAACTGGTAAAATGTCAGTTAAAATTTTCCAGCGTTTTCCATTTAACGCAAAATAAACATATAGTTTTTGTATAATGGAAAAAAAATTTTGAATTTCAATTGAGGCAGTTATAGTATCATTTAAAACCAAGTTTAAATTATGGGAGTTACAGTGAATATACTCTACAAGAGAACAATGAGCTTTTATTTTTGTTTGGACACCGTTATTTTCGTTTCATATTTTAGATCAAATGTTTTTCTACGTAAATGTAATTTTTTTTAAAAATGTTCAGTATTTTTTTTGATGTAATATTGTAATAATAAAGGCCCTGTGGCCCCCGATTTCGACACACCTAGGGGGCCCGGGGCCTAGGCCCCGGCGACCCCGGCCTAAATACGCCCCTGTCGATATGGCGTTTTTATGTGTCGTAAAAATCAATAATTATTATTATTCTTCATTCGATTGACATTGAACGTCCATGTTTAAATTAAACTTTATATTTAATACTAACTTTTCTTTTAATCATTTATTCTATATAAGCTTTAAGAATATATATAAAATATTTAAGCTATAGCAGGTACCTATATACTTGAGTATACATACATCGGTGTAATAAAAGTATAAAATAGTTTGATGGTGGCATTGTGTGTAGAAATTTAAATTACAAATACACACATTATATAATATATTGTGAGGAAGCTTGAATTAACTCTCCAGTGTTTTTAATAGAAAATCTTTTTTATTTATCAGCTATCGGGAGTAAACTCCATTTTTCAAGTTCATACGTTTTGAAGTTTTGTCATTTAGTGTAATTTCACTAAAACTAAAACCTATCGAATTTTATATTATTTATTGAAATGATGGCACCACTTGTGTATGTTTACATTGTATTTTGACAGACAGATGGCGTCACTATTGTATCGTATTCGTACCTCCCCCCTTACCCTTTGTAATATGTTTAATATTTGAATGTAATATGTTAAAGACCTTTGCGGGATTGTACTCAATCACTTCTCAAAGTTTCATCACAATTCACAATCGGATGAACGATTTAGGAAAATATAAGAGATATACAAACATTACTAAAATTCATTTTTATGTATACTATAGGTACAAGGTACAGGACATATTGTCATTTCACAAAAAGTTATCAATGTTATCATTATATTATTTTAATGCTTATACTATAGATAATGTTCTATCTGCAGTGATATCTGTTGTTAAAAATATAAATAAATTAAAAGTGGAGCCATTTCCAATGGTAATTGGTAATTGGTAAGGTAAGTATAGGTACTATAGTACTATAACAATAATTAATTTATATTATAGTATTTGGTTATAACTTCATAAGATTTATTTCACTCAAAACTAACCCATTAACAAAAAGACTGTCCGTCTGTGCAATTCCTGACAATCCTCAAAGAGGATTTAAACGCTCTTAGCCTAGAGACTTGCTGACATGACCTGTCKGGTGGTACTACTAAGTACCTTCCACTCTGTTATATTCAAGTATTCAACGCTATTTCACTCAACAAAATTGTTTGTTGTACAAAATTATGTATATCTTGTAATTATTCTTTTAATAAAAAAAAACTTCTTAAGATGTGACC